GTCGGAGCCTTTGTGGGTGGGTTCCTGTGGCCTGCCTCTGAGCCTTGTGTTTGGCAACTGTTAGTTCAGTGCCTGGACCCAAACCAATGAGTGCAGCCCTATATGAGGAGCACGCTTGGTTTTTGCTGTCTGTTCCTGAGGTCTGTTTGTCTTTAGTAGATCCATTCCCTTCTTGGCCTAAGTCCCCAGGAAAAGAGCACAGGTTTCTGTACACAGGAAACATGTACAAGAAGGAGCTCTTCTTGAGAAGCTGTTCTCTACTCGAGTTCTGCCAAGCAGATGAGTGCTGGGTTCCCTTCAGACAGGCCCATCTGTGTGCCACAATGCCCTGGGGTCTTGCCATCTTGCTAGCACTGGGAGTGCTCCCGTAGCAGCTGGTCCTGCTTATTGTGTTCTGTGATGAAGCCACCATACAGCTGACCTAGTATCATCCAAGCACTTGTCTCTTTCTCTGGTCTCTGCATTTTACAAAGTCCAGCTTGAGTCACACCATCCTCAGTCTGAATGAAACTAAACACAGGTCCACAGATAACTCCAGAGGCCTAGCTGAACTCTTCCTGAGCAATCATCCGGTGCCTGTGGACTAGCCACGCCTCCTATTCACATTCCACTCTCTAAGGATGTAGGATAGGTAGTATGTCTTCGGGAGTCCAGCAGAAGCAGTGTAAGGTAGGTGAAACTCAGGCAAGGAAGAAGACCAACCCTGGGCTCTCCAGGGTCCAGAGGTCCTCGGGGCTCTGGGTGTTCCTCACTCATATGCTAGCAGCTGTGGTCAGACAAGTCCCCTGTGCTTGACCTCAAGTGCAGACAGTAGCTTTCCAGGAAACCCCTCTGTCCATCTTGGGAAATAGGAAGTCACTTTGCAGGGGGCAGCAGTCCTGAGTTTTGGGCACAACCTTGGAAGAGCAGCTCTCAGTGTTCAAGGTGATTCATCTGTCAGCCTTGCTTCAGCAGAAAACATGTCATCAAGAACTCTGCTTCCCACAAGCATTTTCATTTCTTTCCTCCTGAGCTAGCTCCCAAATATATTGTCAGTCACATCTGCACACTGACCTGGGAGCTCCTTTTCATCATCTTGTATTTGCTGTTTCAGCCCAGGAAACTCGGATTTTCACATTTTGGAAACATGAGAAAAAAGAAGTTTGACGAGTCTACAGATTACATTTGCCCCATGGAGCCTGGCGACGTGACTAATGACAGCCACAGGGTCTACGGTGTCTACAGGGGCCTCAGTCCCCTTGATAACCATGAACTAGATGGGCTGGACCAGGTGGGACAGATAAGCTGATGCCCTGCCGACTGCCTTCTTTGTGCACGGAGAGCTTGCAGTAACACCGTGTGTCACCACATAACTGCACTTCACCTCCATCCTTGTGCATTTGTGTACCTTTGGGTTGGTCTGTCTACACCCCTTCAGGATGGCCAGGATATGCAGTTACACAGCTACAGAAGGGACAGACTTTGGGGACTATAGCCAAATGTGGACTGAGGGGAAATCACCTGAAGATATTTGTACATGTTGAGTAATTCTTAATATCCATATTTCAGCTGGAAACATGTGAGCAGAGGGAGGCCCAGAGATGCTGGGCAACCCCAAGAGGCTCAGCTCTCAGACACTGCCCCTATGCTCCAGCTGAGGGAAGAATCCAAGTGCCTTAGGCCTGTGGCCCATAGAGTCTTAGCTGAGATCAAAGCAACAACAGAGGGTATTGTAGGCCATGATGATAACATAATTTGATTGTACCTTACTATGGGTGGCCATTTCTTTCTGGTAATAAAAACAGTATTTATGTAGAAAGCATGAAACATCTTTAATTTTGTTGGGGGAAGAGAGCCCGGCATGGCTGGGGGTAGAGTGATAACAACTACACCAATTAAGGGCCAATAGCTTAGGATTCAACCAAGGGAGTGGAGCATCTGTTAGAGGAGTCTGTGGCCCTGTTACCTTGCTTCATTTCCCTCTGTGATGCTTAGAAGCAGCTTGGGTGTCATGCACACCCTGGCTAGAGGTCACATCTGTCACACAGACCCTAGGTGGTTTTCCGTTTCAGCAGCATGAGCCTCAGAGTGAAGGGTGGGGAGGTGACTAGGCAGCCTTTCTGTCAAGACTCTGCTTTTCCCATCTTACCCACTTTTTGTCTCCCGGAAGAGCAGAAACAGAGCTGCTCTCTTGCTTTAGACACTGACTAGCTGGTAATGGGCCCGCCAGATGGGCTGTGTCTGGCCAGAGACTAACCAGGGAAAGATGTGTACTCTGCCAGTCTGAGCTCCTGCTCAGGAAATTCCAGTTTGGGCCTGGCCGGCATTTGACTCCTGGGTCCACTGGGCTTCCTCCACAGAAGAATAACAGCAGTGTTACAAATATCTGGAAGTGAGGGCAGGGCCACTGGCCCATTATGGCATTCTGATTCTGCCTCAGGTACAGGCAATGCTTAACATTTGGCTCTTAATATACACAGAAGACTCAGCCATGGTCTGTTATCCAAGACTGCCACGTCCCCTGAAGTCTAGCTAGTGAGAGAAGTGGGCACAAGCTTGCCAGGTGGCAATACTAGTGTTTGGTTCTGGGACCCAGGGCCACTGAATGGCCAATGCTGTTGGAGAGCAGCTCAGGCCAGGTTTTGTGCCCTGTTGGTCATGTCCTAGTGAGGAACTGCATGTACCTGTTTTCAGACCTTGCATGGAATTGTATTGCTGTTGAATCTCTGTGTGGCCTCTTGCAACTCCCGTCCCCTTAGTGGACCTGAGTTTTCCCTGCTACAAGGGTTGCCCTTGATGCCTCCAAGTCTGCAGCATCCAGATAAGGAAGACCGAGTAGGCCAGCAGTGCCCAAGGAGAAGGAAGGCAAGAAAAGGAGGCTCCTGTGCCATGAAGAGGCAGCAGCCTCCTGATGATGTCCTTAGACCACAGCTTTGATATCTGGGGGTCCTGTGCCTAGAAATCATCCTCTGTCTAGTAGTAATTTGGAGGCTTTCATCCCTGAGAAGTAGCTGGACCACTGGACATGTGCAGAAGGCTGCTTCTGACACGTTCTGCCTGTGCCCTGCTTCTCCACACAGAGTGCTGATGCTGAGTGTGGCTTCAGCAGAGCATGTACATACAGTGCAGGAACTGAAACTGCATGTGTCTCATCAGCTGTCACTCCTTGGGGCCTCGAGCACACCATGCCCACGCTCCAGGGAAGAATGTCCTGGAGAGGGCAGGCCTGAGTAGAAGGGGCTTTGCATGCTGCTGTCCCTGCAAAGCATAGGCTTCATTCCTGTGTGCTGATCAGGCTGCTGCCCATTTTACAGATGGTACCTTCTGAAGTCACCGTGACACAAATAGGGCTCCTCTCCCAAGACATCCACCGCCTCACGGTAAGATTCCAACCACCTTACTAGTGAAGCCCAGTAAGCTTGGTGGGGTGATATTCATCATGGCCACAGGACAGGAAAGGATGATGCTTGATAGTGGGTCAGAGCCTGAGCCAGCCCTGAGGCACACAGCAGCTGAAAGGCCTCCTCCATTGGCCCGTTGCTGGGCTCTGAGCCACCACAGGGCATTGGAGGCTCACAGGTCTTTCATCAGAGTCAGCCTGAACATACAAGGTGCTGGATCCTTTCCCTGGTCTCAGATCTGGTAATGATATAATGGTGCTCAAGAAGTTCTGGGTCAACTGTCCAGCCAGATCAAAGTGCTGGCTCACCTCTAGCCCAGTGACTAATGTCCTGCCTTCTTGGCACAGGAGAAACATGCATTCCTACCACTCCTCTGATATCATGAATATGTTCTGCAAGCTGGGAGAGCCTGCCATGCCCAGGAATACTAATCAGTCCATGGCGAGGCAACTTGGTCCCAAGGAAAGAAGAACAGATTTGTGGGGGTGGGGGTGGGTGTAGGAGTGGTTCAAGTCATTGCCTTTTTTTTTTTTTTTTTTTTTTTTTTGGTTTTTCGAGACAGGGTTTCTCTGTGTAGCTTTGCGCCTTTCCTGGAACTCACTTGGTAGCCCAGGCTGGCCTCGAACTCACAGAGATCCGCCTGGCTCTGCCTCCCGAGTGCTGGGATTAAAGGCATGTGCCACCACCGCCCGGCCCAAGTCATTGCCTTTTACTAGCTCTAGGAGCCTAGGTATGCCATTGTCCCTCTGAGACTGGCTTTAGTTATCTGTAAAGCAGGGATAATGATAGCCCTCTTGTAAACCACATGAGAAGACCAGAAATACCAACAAATGCCCCCCGCTCCCCCTGGTTAAAAAACTGCCTAAAGGCAGGATGGAAGAGTCTCTTATATCTAAGCAAGACTACGTCAATGCAACAGGCTTTGTCCCTTGGCTCATACAGGGAAATGTCTCTGTACAGTCTTGGGTGTGATCTCCAACAAACCTTTGCTGGTCTTGAAATAATAAGTTTACCTCTAAGATGAAAGGCTTAGTTTTATCTTGTGTATATGTATGTACTGGTGGTGGGGATTTAACCTAGGACATTATGCAAGCAAAGCAAGTACTTGTGTACTTGTGTACACCAAGCTTCACCCCCACCCCATTTTTACCTTAACATTACTGTCTGTTCAGCACTCAGTGCGCAGACTCCCTGGGACATCATAGCTTTGCAGGTCAGTGGTGTGGAGATGGGCCACTCCCATTGTCCCTCTGTTTCTTGTGCAGACGCTGCAGGATAGCCTTGCCCTATAGACGGTTAAACTGTCCTTTTGGCTATGTTCTTACAGACTCTACTGAGCCAGGACCAACTACTGAATGACTCTCCTGGCTGTCCCTGATGCTGATGACTACAGATGACATTCTTCATGACTGAAAGAAAGCCCAGGGAGGCATGCGTGGGACCTGAATGTTTGCCTCAGTGGGGAGTTGGCACAGAGCCATCTACAGAACCCAGATGTGGCTCTTTGGGGTACCTCAGATGTAGGTGCTGGCAGAAGCAAAGGCAGAAGGATGAGACAGGTGCCCAGAGGTTCCCTGTGTACTTCAGCATCGTCAATGATCGCTTTTCACTACATGGAGCTTTTCTACCTTTTGTACTTTTATATACAAACTGCAGACACTCTTGTAGAGAGGGAAGTGAGGTATTAAATGCAGAACAAAGGCAATGAGCTGTTAGTTCATAAAAGCCTCTGCTTGGAGGGAAAAAAAAAGGTGTGCAAATTGTTCTGATTGTCCTGCAGTGGCTGATTGAAGTTGCGGATGGGATGGGATGGGGTAGGGGATTCTCTGGGGCTACTTCATAAGAAGTATGTATTTTCACTTCCGGGAGCCTGGCCCTGACAACCAGGACTCCTGTCTCGATCCTCTAGCAGCTTCTGTCCACCTGTATCTGCAGTGGGTGTCTGAGCAGAAGCGTTCCCAAGACACCAAGGTGACATGACACACTTTCCCTCACCAGCCTCAAGTAGTGGCTGATCAAATACCTCCCCTAGTGGACAGTCTTAAACACAAACTTTCCCCCCCTGTTATACAAGCCAGTTCTGTTACCTTGATACCTCCAAGGGAGGCACCCACTAAACCCTCGTTCCCTCCCAGGCTGTGGCTGTTCCAGTTCCTGTTTTGTTATCTGATCGCTGCCCATGACTTTCTACTGGTCCCTCACCACCTTAGTTGGTCCCTGCCAGACATTCCCCACGCCTGTCACCTTGTCACCATTCTGCTTTGAATTCGTTAGTCACAGAATGCTCACAGATGGGCATGCCAGTCCCGTTCCATCATTCCACCAGCCTTTGTTGAGTCCACTGATTTGTCTTTGCTTCACCCCGTTTATTCTTTATTCTGGTTCCAAGTCAACTCTGCCCTTTGGGTGCTGTCTGCCTTTGCCGCCGAGATGTTCACAGCCCGCTTTGAGGTTATGTGCCATTTTGCCATGCACTGGTACCCTCTGCATAAACCCGCTGAGCCACTGTAGTCTGGGTGGGCTAAGTGAGTTCCAGTTGTCGGATTGCTTTTGCAGTATCCTTGGTCTTCCGTACAGAGGTCATTAGCCCTTTCTCCTCCAGTTCAGAAAGCCCAAATGTCTTCAGGCTTTGTCAGATGTCCCCTGGGGGGGGGGGAATCACCCCCTCCCAACTAAGAACCATTAGACAGAAAAATAAGGTCAGAGTGGAAGGAAGGCCTAGGGAAGGAAAAATCCATGAGGTTGAGATGAGTCCAATGGGCCTGGAGGCGTATGCCTGTCATCCCAGCTACTAACAGTTGGGAGGCTGAGGCAGGATGACTGTGGCTTCACAGACGACTTGAGCTACCGAGTGAGTTCAGTGTCAAGTGGGGCAATTTAGTGAACGGACAGGAGTGCTTTCCCTTGGGCTTTCCCCACGGATACACTAAGCTCGACTGAGTGGATCAAAGTGTGAGTGTCTCTCCCAGGCCTGCCTTGAAACTGTTTGGCCCCCTGTGGATGAGCTTCAGGGGTACAGCAGAGCTCCCTGGAGCCATATTCCTCTCCTCTCTTTTTTTTTTTTCTTTTTGGCGCCCTCCTCACCCATGCACATTGAGCAACAGACCCAGCAGTGAGTTCTAATACTGCTGCTTCTATGCTAGTTTTTATGAAAGGAGAACAGACTTAGAATTAAACAGACCCAGGTTTAAAGCCAACTCTGCTACCCACTGTCTGAATGACTTGGGGGACATGTAACTAACTGTGTCTGTTTCCTCCTGTGTGACTTAGAGAACAAAATCTCCACAGAATCTCTGGCCTGTTCGGAAGGATATATGAAAAGAAGTTGCAGTGGGCTTACCCACTGAAGAAGCAGAGCAGCAGTGCGTTATTCTCACTCTGAACAGCAGGTGGCGGTAGCAGTCCTGTATCATGTAGGTTGGATTTGAGGAACAGCTGCTGGGTATGGTGAATTGTAAAACTTAAGTCTAACCATGCCTACCTTGGCCCAGTACCAAGATGGAGTCTGTCACCTAGAGAATGCTAAGATATAAATATTTCCCCATGTCTCCATCTGCTGTACAAAATTCAGGGACTAAGGAAGGGATTCCTACTACCTACTGTGAATTTACTGCCCTTACATACAGGTTTTTAATCCTATTTGTGTCTCAAAGTGTCCCACATGGGAAGGAAGAACACACAAGGCCTTTGCCCTCTTGTGAGTCATGCCTTTAAAGTGGAGAAATGAAAAGAAGGTTCATGAGTGGTTAGTGGGAGTGATGGAACCCCATTTGGATCATGCTGGAATTCTACCCAGGCAAGTTCTGGCTGCCCAGTCCCTACATATTCATACATTGTGCACTAAATGCAGAGCAGTGCAGTTTATTACACTAAGCCATGGAGAAAGGCATCATCCCCAGCCTCCAAGCCTGGAAGCTCAAAAACTACCTTGTCTTTTAACATTCTTTGAATTCTTAGGTCCACACCCAGGAGACCAGCACCATGCCCAAGCGTACATTGGAGAGGCACTTAGAAAATACTGTAGTTGAATAATGTGAAGGCAAACTCACTCTGAAACAGGAAGAGGGACCTGCCAAGGAGCATAGGAGATATTAATAGGTAAAAATCATGTCCTTGGTATAGCCAAGCTGCTCCAGGCTGGGGTGAACTGCCTCCTGGATCATAGGTGGTGGACCACACACCAGGATGAGTGTGGCTTCCCCAGGGGGAGGGAGGTGCTTCTTGATCATGTCAGCAGTAACAAATCCAGAGCTGTACTTCCATCCTGAAATGAAGCAAAGCAGGGAAGATGCATGGTTCTGCGTTTGCCCTTGATGCTGGAGACCAGGGTGACCTACAGAAGCTGAGAAGTCCACACTGCTGGTTCCCACAGATAGGGGGTTCCAGCCATCTGCAGCATTGCCTCCAGATTCCAGGCTCAAGCCTTGGACTTAGACTCAGGATGATGTCTCTTTGCTCTAAGCACTGAGTTGAGTGGGGATGTTAGGTAGAGGTGGGTGAGGAGGTCATATTGGTATGGTGGGGTGTTTGTTGAGTTGGGCAGCACCGTCTGCTGGCAGCTTGAAATATGCCAAGACAGATATAGATCAAGGAAGCAGGTGATGTGCCCTGCATGATACAAGGTGTGTGGTTGTTCCTGGGTGCTAGCTGAGGGCTGCAGCAGCTGGCTGAGGCTGAGCATATGAAGACGACTGTCCAGAACAGTTTGGTGGTAAATGGCAGAGTAGCCATGAGCAGTACAAAAGGGTAAGGGGCCAGTGGTCATATTAGGTGAAATGTGCTGACTGTGGGGGGCAGGTGTTCAGGTAGCCTGGTGGCTCAGGGTCTATACTCAGTACAGTGTGGGGAGTGTAGAATTAGCACCTACCCTTGACTCCCCTTTACAACCTGCTGCACACAATCTCCTCCCATCAGATTCTTGCATGCTCTATACAGACCCAAAGCTCTAAGGCTCTTTTGGAGTAAACCTTAAAGGCAAAAACAAGCAAACAAAACCTAGAGACTAGTCTGTAGGTGTGTCACAGGGTGGAAATGGCTCAGAATAAGAGAGGGTAACATGGGCATACCAACAGGAGGCCTGTCCAGGGTATACCACACGTTGAACTGGTCAAGGTGAGTTGTAGCGATTTCTTCCAGCTCCTTTCTCAACAAGATATCCTCTTCTGTCTAGAAAAGAAGCAACATTACAATGGTCCGTCCAGGAACAGCCAGTATGCCCACCTAGATTGAACACGTGGGCCTGTACATTCACACCTTCATTGCCACTGTCCTAGCTTGAGAGCTTGCCAGACTCCAGGGCAGACAAGGTCCTGTTCCTCCTGCACACTACACCCTCTCTCTGTCAATATAAAGAGCTGGTGGGGCTGAAGGGTGAGGTAGAGGTACCAACAGCGTATCTGCCCTCTAGCTGGAAGGACGGCTGCATAGACCCTGTGCATGCAAAAGTCTCCACTCATTTTCTTGCATCCAGGGATCAGGTCTAGCAGGCCCAACAGACACAGGCTTAGTGCAGGTTGGCCTTCCCTAAGGAGCCAGGGGAGGATGGTGCTGGTGATGTATAGAAGAAGAAGGTGGTCTGTGTTTACATGTGAGAAAAGGGGGACAAGTCTCCAAGAGAATGCCTAGGCCTGGATCATCAAACCCTCCATGTCTCTTCTCCTAGGAATGCTACTTCTGGCATGGTTTCATAAAGTAAAAGTTATCAGGTCAGGCCCAGTTACTCATAATTATTGTTTATGACAAAATCTGTAAAGAACCTGAATGAAATTTTGGAAAAATTTCACTTTGATTCTGATATGACTATTTAAAGTTAGTGAGTGGAAGATGCATATGTGATACTACTAAGTGTAAAAGTATATGTTATATCCAGTATATGCTATGTATTTATTGGATTGGATATATATGATTGGATATATCATATATATAAATACATATATATACTATGTATTTATATATATGATATATCCATATATACCCATATATAAACACATAGTATATATTGGGGAAAAGATAAAAGTATTCATATTCTTCTGAATTCCTCAGAATTTCCAGCAGGAACATCCATTATTTAATATTCAGAGAAACAGAATGGGAATTAAGGAGAAAGCTCAGTGAATTAAGGAGAAAGCTCAGTGTGTGGAGTGGGTCTATAGGGAAGATGCCAGAGTTCAGCAGAAACAAACAAAACAGGCCTGGCCTCAGCTTCTTCAGCCACTAGCAGACTTTCAGAACCTACTAAGCCTCCCACAGCCCAAGGCACCCAAGCAGCATGTTTCCAGGCAGTGGGAGGGGAATGAATTCATATAGAGCCCCAACTCGGGGAACATTCCATGCTACTGTAGCAAGCTCTGGGCTGACTCTGCAGAACTGACCTGGTTGGCAAAGAGAAGGGACATCCTGGTCCCATCACTGGTGTTCTTTGTGATGTGGCGAATAAGCTGCAGCATGGGAGTAATGCCTGGAAAACAGTGGGCAGGCCAGCTTTCTACCATCTCCAATGCCTCCATTTCTGGCCTTCAGCAGATTAGCAATATCATTTAACCCCGATTCTACCATTTTCCCTTCTGTTCCCCAAAACCCAAAGTAAGGAAGAACCTTCATTTTGGTGTTCCTTTTTAATGCAGCAGAAGGTCAAAAGCCCCCTTTTTGAGACAGGGTTTCACATATCTCAGGCTGGCCTCAACTTACGGTGTAGCCAAGTATGCCCTTGAACTTCTGATTATCTCAAGTTCTGGGATTACAGGCATGTGCTACCAATGCCTGTTTTTATGTGGTGCTGGGGAACCCAGGGCCTCGTGTGTGCTAGGCAAATATTCTACCAACTAAGCCATATCCTCAGCCCTTTTTCTATTGCAAGAGGGCAAAAACATTCTGTGTGTTAGTTCTTGTCCTTGCTTACATAATAGAATTAATGGCCAGTAAATGTGATAGTATTATAATTGCCTGTGATGGTGCCTAACACCCTGTGGGTTATTAATCCCTGAGGGTTCATTCTCAAGGGATTTGGAGAGTCAGACTGGAACTGATCTTCCACTATTTAGGAACCACCCAGCAAAGCCTGCCCTGCCTGGCTTCTCAAGAAAGGTTCCCATGGCTCCTGGGGAGTCACTATGATGGTTGCAGAGGAACAAGGTCAGAGTCAGTATCTGTTGCCACATTGACACTACCACAGCTAGGGAGCAATTGCTTGTACCACCTCTCATAGGGTCAAATGACTCCCAAATTAGAATGGTCTTAGAGGAACCCAGAAACCTCTTACCTGTTCCCCCAGCAATCATTCCCAGGTGATGAAACAGTCTGTTTTCAGGCTCACTCATTTCGTCTACTTTGACTATAAGGGAACCTAGAAACATAGAGGATGTTTATGACTTCTATAGCCTTTGGCTGGCTGCCTACAAAAGACTTCTGACTCTTAGGAGGCAAGATCAGCTAAGGTTGTAGCATTCCAAGCCAGAGAATCAGACACAGTATCTTCATTGGCCACCAGTGTACAGAGTGGAAACTGAGGCTAGGCATCCATTGGCTATCTGGGTCTTTTCTTAGGCAAGCTTGGAGCCTTGTAGAGCCTCCTCCATGACAATGGTGAAGGAGTGAGTAAATGGAAAATCTGGATGAACCAATCAATGTGGAGTCCTTCCACCATTTACATCAGCAGGCACCTTTCATTTATCTGTGCCAGAGACAGTAATGAGGACATTCTAGATGAAGCATAAAAGCTTGTGAAATAAATATGAGCAGTGATAGAAGTCATTATAAATGCATTCACGTGAATGAATGTGTGAAGACTTGAAGTACAAGCCCATGTGCTCCAGGGCTGAGGAAGACCACAGTAAGATCACTGCAGGAATCTCCCAGTTTTGAGAGGAATTGCCCAACTGTGAGATCCCACTGAACAGCACCTGGTACCTGGCTCATGGTAGAACAGGCGCCCTGTGGGCCCTCGAAAAAGGATGGTGTCCCCAATTTCCATGTTCTCTAAGTACTGAGTCATCTTTCCCCCTTCAGGATACCTGGGGTGCACGTTTTTGAAGTATATCTGAAAAGCAAGCACAGGTCTTTATGCTCCCAGGCCTTTGGCTATGGTTGCACACAGCTGGAAAGTACATTTGCCTTCAGAAGTCATGCAAGTGAACACTGCCACACTCACTGTGAACAGTTGTTTTAGTTTTATTTCTGTCCCCACAATAAAATACCCTAATAAAACAACTCATGGGAGAAGGGGTTTATTTTACCTTACAATTCAAGGTTAAAGTCCATCATTGCAGGGAAGTCAAGACAGGAACTTAAAGCAGCTCACCACATCACATCCAAAAAATGTATGCATGCATGCCTAGTCATGCTCAGTTTATTCTCTATGCTTACACAGTTCAAGGTCTTCTGCCTAGGGAATGGTATCACCCACAGTGGGCTGGGTCTTTCTACATCAATTAATATAATCAACACAATCCACCAAAGACACTTCCACAGACCAACCTGGTATAGACAGTCCCCCATTAAGACTCTTCTCAGGTGATTCTAGATTGTGTCAAGTTGGCTATTAAACTAACCACAGCAATCCTTTGAGACACTACAGGGTTAATTGTAGCATTGCTGATAAATTAGACTATTGGAAAGTGCTGTCCAGGCCATAAGTCCTCTCAGAGAAAAAGTATTACTCTCCATTCTACCACCCTAAGGATACCTGGGGGCTCCAGATAGCTGGATAAGAGGTGGGCATTATTTACCTTTATAATGAAGTCCACAAAGCCTTGATCATCATCACTAGAAACAGGAGTGTAAGCCCTGATTACCCATTGATCATTAATTTGGGCCAAGAAATGGACATAGTTACCTACAAAAAAAAAATCAAATGTTGATAATCAAATAGAACCCAGAAATCCCCCAAGATTCACTTTGATAACAGCTGCCTAGCTATGATCACACTATAACTCTTGGAGTAAGACTTAATTAAAGATGGAAATGGATACTAAAAATATCAGAAAGGAGCCAGGTGTGGTAGCTCATGCCTATAATCCTAGCACTTGGGCATCAGAGACAAGATTGAATTGAGTTCAAAAGTAACCTGGGCTGTAAGTTGCAGTCCAATCTATGCTAAGAGCAAGAACTTGTCTCACAAAAGAAATCAGAATTTTTTTTTTCCCATTTAAAGAAAACTACAGTCTTCACAAAGTTTTTTCTTCCTAACCTGAAGTCTGGGAGGGAGTCACCAGTATCCCATCTCCGTCTCAGCTTAGAACAGGGCTTAGCCTTATGGGTTCTGCAGGGTCTCAAGACCTAGACAGTTCTGTTTCAAATAAAGCAACAATGTGTTCCATCCTGGCCATTGGTTCTGCTGAGAAGCAACAGGGACATTTACACTGTGTGTTTGCCTGTCCAGAGTAGAATTCTATGGGCCTGGAGGGCTGAAGACTTAGGAGTTGAGATTGTAGCCCAATGTCAGATAATGAGCCAGATTGAAGGCCAGACTTCAAAGACCAAAGCAATTAGTACTGAGGGGAGGAGCTGCATCAAGGGATGCTAAAAACTAGAGGCAAAAGAAGGCTCCAGGCTTCTACTTCAGGTGGAGTAGAAATTAAGTATGCCTGGAAAATTAGAAATACAGCTAGAAGTGGAAACTGAGAGAGACAGAGATGAAGAGAAGGCAGAAAGGAAGGAGGGGGAGTGGGGTGCTTGAGGACAGAGTAGCTAGTTCAAGATGTTAAGCAGTTTCATCTGGGTCTTGGAGGAGTTCCTGGAAGCTGAGGTGCAAACTTAATAGCCATAGCCTGATTGGACACCAGGGACACTTGACAACACAGGCCCAAAGCAGCAACTTCCTTCCAAAAGCTCACCTGAAACTGAGAACCTAGAAGTGAGTTACTGCATCCCTATGCAGAATGGAGCTGTGTTCCTGACCCAGAGCCCTACCTATAACTATCTTCACTTCAGCTGAACTGTGAAGCATTCGCCATTTTTCTGGCATACTCTTAGAGGCCACTGCATTGCCTTGTCCCACTGACCATGCTGCTTCCACTGGGGCTGAAGGGAGAGTAGCTCAGAGAAGTCTCTAGAAATTCTATTTCTCAAGTGGCTTTTGGTTTCATACTGTCCCCCAACAGGATGGTGACAGGCTAAAGTAGAGGAATAGAAAGCCCAGTGACATAGCACTCTCATGTACAGAGCAGTGAAGGCCAACAGGCTTCCTTGTGTTATAATTTCATCACCTATCAGAGTTGCAGTCACGACTTTCTTTAAAAAGTAGGCCATCAATCAGACTGTCCACTAAGAGGCAGGCAACAAGGCTTCTCTGCCCCACACCTGTCCCTTAGGTCTTCCACCTCAGGAGAGTGGACTCATTGTCTAGAGTAGTTACTGATGAAACGAAAAATGGGACAACTCAGAATAAAGTCTTAGACCTCTGACTCTAGGCTTACTTCTTTTCAGTTCTCCTCAAGATACTAATTTTATGACAGGCAAATGGAACAATGAAGACACTGTCCTTAAGTCCTTCTGCCTATCTCCCTCCATTCATGTGATCCAGGGTTATTTCAGTGTATCCTCCGTATCTCATGAGAATGAGAATCCATTTCTAATAGGAACTGAGCATCCCAAAGACCCACACCTGGATTGCCACCAAGCACTGCTCACCTACAGGGAGCCCTAAGACATGGTCCGGTGAGGGCAGTCCAAAGCGGAACCTTCGGGTGTTGTGGTTGATTTGCTAGTTAAAAAAAAAAAAAGGTTCTGTTGGCTCTCTAGGAGTTTTACTGTGTGGCCCAGATCTTAGAAAGTTGATCCATTTGTCTCCGAGGTGACTGCTCACCCCACCTTCCCAGCTAGCATTCTCACCCCCCTGTCCTCTTTCACCTAACCAGGGGAAAGTTTAGGTGACCCATTACCTCCTTCTCAATCAAGGGCAGAGGGTACTCGGCTTCAGGGTCCTGTAAAGTGATGCGACCTTTCTTCTTTAAGTTTATTTGCTTCAGGATCGTGAGAATCATAGTGACACTGACGACACCAAGGGCCAACAGCAGGCACCTGTCCTAGCAGACATAATGTGAGTACAGACCTCAGATCTCACCCTTCCTGGGTTAGACAACTCCAAGCATGGCTGGTCTTATGTCTCAAAGGAATAACAGAAGGAAAGGTATTAACACAGAAGGCTGCCTGTGGGGACCAGAGGACGAGAGGTTAGCTGTAGGTCCAACAGGCCTCCTGGACAAGGCCTGACACCTGACTAGAGTGCTGGTCTCTTCAGGCCCTTCTTGCCCACCTGCCTCCATCCTGGCTACAGCCAACGATGGGGAGCAGTGATGACATTAGTTATAACAGGTCCATCTGAGAGATAGCTGTGTTGTCCTTGCTAGGTGGTTGTGGCTAACAACAAGGCTGGAGACAGGGCTTACCTCTCCTGAGACTTCCCACTCACTTCAGATGCAGCTGTAGTGGAGTCCTGAGTGCCTTTGGGACTCAGCAGCACCTTCCAGGGCTGGCAATGTAGGCCAACACCCATCTGCCAGAGGTGTGGCCAACTTCTCCACAACAGCCCTCAACTCCGCCCCTTCCCTAACAAGGCCAGTTTGTTCACATCCGGACCTGTTCCAGAAAGGTCCGTTGTTGCCCAGTCCTCTGGCCGAAAGGCCAAGGGTTCCCACCAGCTGGGAAACCGCCTGTGAGTCCTGCTGAAGCCATCGCCTGCCGCTGCCCCCAACCTTGGATTCTTTCCTGCCGGCGCCTTTCCAGCGGAACCCACCAGGAGCCAGATGCCCAACTAAATCCTCGATCTGACATATTCAGGCTTCTGTGTCTCCTGACTGTGACTCTGGCACCGGTCCAGCCCTGAGCCTCCGCGGCTGGCCCTGTGGGGATGGACTGCATACTGGCCTCCAGATTTCCTATTCATGATAGGGCTCCCTCTGTATCTTTAAGTGTCCCTGCGCATCCCAGTGGCCTTGGGGAAAATTCAGCCTCCCCAGCTTGTTAACACCCTGGCAAGATGGAGAAAGGGGTTGCTGTAAACTCATTTACGGTGCCAACTGAAGAAATGAGAGCCACAGCCTAGAGGAAGAGCACTAGCGTGACTACATGTCTAATTTAACATGTCTCCTGAGCTGCTACCATGAGCCTCCCAGAACCAAGTGTATGCAGGGTGGGACTGACTGCAGCATGTCGTGCCCTCACTAGTTGGAGACAGGTAAGACTCTATAGGAGACAGGATGAGAAGTACAGCTTATGAAGATTCTTCACAATGCACTTCAGAACCTTGGTTTCCTTTTCCACTCTTGCCAATGGCAAAAGTAAACTGATTTCCACCTGAGAGAGCCAGAGAGGCCAAGAAGCAGGTCCCTATCAGCTAGGGCCACAATAATGGAGGACCACAGACTGTCTAGGCAAAAGGATCTGAGAATCCCAAATCAAGGAATGGACCAGCTGTGGTCTTTTGGGCGCCTGTTGGGGAACAGAGAACTTTTGCCCTTCTCCTGAGCTTTCCTCTTTAATTCATCTCCCCTCTCTGTGCATGTTCCTGTGTTCAAGTTTCCCCTTGTAATAAAGACCTCAGGCATCCTGGATTATTTTCATTACTTCAGTTATCTCCAACGAGGACATGTTGCTGGGAGTTAGGGTGTAAGGTAGGAATGTGAGAAATCAGCTCACATCACGAGACCACCCCCACCCCAAGCACCATGCTGCAGTAGGCACACATATTGACATCTTCCATGATATCTTCCTGGGCCCTCAGGTTATTGCCAGATAATTTGATTTTTTGACAGCTTACGTGTTTAAAATATAAAGTCAGGGCTGGTGGTACCTGCCTGAAACCCCAGCTATTTAGGAGGTTGAGGCAGGAGGATCAAATGTTTAAGACCTGTCTGGCTACAGAGTGAGTTTAAGGCAACTTAGTAAGACTCTGTCTCAAAACTTAAAAACAAACAAACAAACAAACAAAAAGCAAAAAAACCCAACCAAACTACAACAACAAAAAGAAAAGGGCGGAAGATACAGGACACCATTAGCTCAGCATGTGTGAGGCCCTGAGTTCAGTCTCTAGTATGGAGGGGAAAAAATATCCAGAGTGTACAATGGTATCTCATGAAGGGATTGTGCTTTGCACAATATGCTCTGTCGAGGGATATCTTGCCTATTTTGATCTTCGGTGTCCCTACCTTTTTACGAAGTTATGACAGCACAGGACTCTTGCTCAATTTTTCATTGAGTTATCCACATCACACCCATTTTTAAGAGGTTTATATGTGTATCAGACAGAATTCCTTTGTCAGATGAGTGATAAAGGTTTTCTCCCAACATGTTTCTTGTCCTGTCTCCAACTAGTGAGGGCACGACATGCTGCAGTCAGCCCCACCCTGCCAACACTTGGTTCTGGGAGGCTCAGGGTAGCAGCTCAGGAGACATGTTAAATTAGACATGTAGTCACGGTAGTGCTCTTCCTCTAGGCTGTGGCTCTCATTTCTTCAGTTGGCACCGTAAATGAGTTTACAGCAACCCCTTTCTCCATCTTGCCAGGGTGTTAACAAGCTGGGGAGGCTGAATTTTCCTCAAGGCTAGATTTTTACAAGAAGAAGCAACTCTTGGCTGAATATTTGATTCCACATGAGGTAACAGAAGCATCTTAAACATTTTTCAGAGTTTATGAAGTTTTTTATAATTGTTAATGCTGAGACTCAACTTTTCATAAATACATAGGACAAAAGACAAAAGTAGATTTAGGGCCTGTCAGAAATTGTTTGAAATTCTGTCCCAGTCCTAAGCCAAAATTCATCTATATTATGAAACTCAAGTTGGTAACTCAAACAGCAATTTTATTTATTTTTTTTATTTTTGGTTTTTCAAGACAGGGTTTCTCTGTGTAGGCTTGGTTGTCCTGGAACTCACTCTGTAGACCAAGCTGGCCTCAAAGTCACAGAGATCAGCCTGCCTCTGCTTCCTGAATGCTGGGATTAAAGGCATGTGCCACCACCACCCTCAAACAGCAATTTTAAAAAGCAAACCCTGCAACACAATGCAGCCCCAAAGAGAATCTGATCTGATACTATGTGAATGATGGTGTAAAAATAATAATTCTTTGTTTTTTTTTATAATTGAACATTATATTTCTACAACAGCATGAAATGTTGTTGAATGGGGGATAGTAAAAATACTTTGACTTTCTTTCCTGTGTCTCAGACTGTGATGAAGAATGCTGGGGCAGGGAGATTTGCCTAGACTGTCTGTGGAGCCTGAGATAATGGGTCCACATATGAGGTTCAGAGAAGACAGTGGAAGGTCAGGGCAGTGAGAAGAGAGCAGCAGTGTGGAGTGATGAACCGTGGAGATGGAGGAAGTGGCCACAGGCCAAGATGTCTAGGTAGTCACTAGAAACTGAAATTCAAGGAAATGGAAATTTCTCCTATAACCTTTGGTAGAAGAATGAACCCCATTGGCTCCTTCACTTTATCCTGAGTAACTGTTATACTTCTAGCTTCCAGAACTGTAAGAGAATAAATTTATGTTGTTTTAAGCCATGAAGTTTATAATAATTAGTTATGACAGCAATACATTAAATGAACTATTTTTTTTTTTTTTTGGTTTTTCGAGACAGGGTTTCTCTATGTAGCTTTGCGCCTTTCCTGGAGCTCACTTGGTAGCCCAGGCTGGCCTCGAACTCACAGCGATCCGCCTGGCTCTGCCT